GGAAAATATGGGAAAATGCTTGTGTAACAGGGTACAAAAATCCCGTATGGCGGGAGAAATTCTGGCAAAGGACTTATCCTATATGATAGGAGAAAGATATGATGACTCATGTGCTTTTAATGTGTCTCATTCTCGGAGAAAAGTATGTAGTAGCTATTATGCTTTCCTAGTATCGACCTTACACCTTATGTGTAACGGTCATTAAGCACTTAATAAATCCAAAGATAATAAAAATTACTGATGAACCTAAAGAAAAGAATGATATGCAAGTGTGACTTGCAAAAGTACTAATGATAAAGAACTCTGTTGAGTTTCTAAAATGGAATGAGGAAAAAAATACTCACATACCAGTTAATAGATAACTTCATTTCGTATGAAGTAATCAGATAAATGAAGTAGATAATCGAAATTTCTTCAATTCACAAGAGGTATAAATGGTTTTTCGAAATTGTGGCGGAAAAGTTCTTGCCACATTTCGAGGGGGAGAAAGAAATATGAGATAAATTAAGAATGATGATACTCCCCTATACTTTAGATAATGTGATGCACATTATGCATCTAAAGTGATCCATTAATGAAGAATGTGATCATCTGGGGGACTACGACGGTCATAATAATACCCCTAAAGAAAAGAAATAGTTGTATTCCTGGATCTTTTACAGTTTCGAAAGCAGACTAAAGAATACTAAGACGGTGCTTAAAGTGCCATAAAGAAGAAAGTTTTAACAGAATAAACCCAAATAATTAAGTTCAAAGATACGCCATTTTTAGTGAAGATGGAGTAATCTGGGGGAGCATGTTGTATGACCTATACAACACCTGTTGTTAGATCTATAAAGGAGGAATGGGTAAACATGGATCTTGTGATAAAGGTCCCTGTAAAAGCTATTGTCTCTTGGAAATGAAAGACTACACAATTAATTTGCCTCTTGGCAATGACAGAGCAACAACAGCTCCATATGAAAGAAGTGTCAGTATCTGAGACACAGATGGTCTCAAGGAATGAGAAAATCAGATACTTCTGATTACTATAAAGTCTATGTTAGTGAAATTCAAATGGAGGTTGATCCCACCTCATTTAAAGCGCTCAATCGAGCCTTGAGAAGTGTCCGTTTTGTCTAAATGATAAGGGACTATATGCCATGAAATAAAATTGGTGAATCCCGATGATGTTTGGGACTCATAAGTAATTACCAATGGAGCCAGAACAACAGGCTGTAAAGGGTCTACAAGGTCAATGTGACTCCAAAGAAAATATGTAAAGGTGTAAAGCGTGACTTAAATCGAAAGATTTTGTCCAAAGAGAATGAATATATTACAATGAGTGTTAGTGGCACATCATGATCGACATCATGATCTGAGTTACATCAAATGAAAGTAAAGAACACAAGGGATACTGCTTCAAGAAGTCTTTTATGGACTAGAGCAAGTCTCTAGACAATGACATTTAAAGTTAGAATAATCAGATGTTATTTTGGGTTAAAGAAAATAAGAGGACAATTGTATTCATGCAAAGTTATAGAATAGGAAATTCATTCTAATCCTGTGCATGTGGATGACATCCTACTTGCTAGTGGTCATGTCAATCTACTACAGGAGGAGAAAAGAAGTTCTCGTCCTCAAAGTTCAAAAGAATGTCCCAGGTAGAGTGTCTCTCGTTATAATTATCGAGATTCACCAAGAAAAGAATAAAAAAAGGGGGTATTAGGAATGTCGCATGGACATGCTAAGAAAGGTATCTAAAGTATGCATGCGAGAAAAACCTACGCATGTTCTTATAGTCAAGGGTAATGGAATTGGAAACTATGGTGTTCCAAAAGTTGATGAGAAAAGATTGAAAACGGATATGGCACCATATGCTTCAGCTGTTGGAAGCTCAATATATTACCCTGACACAGTTCACGTATCCGGGTTGTTTTGGCAATGTCCAGTCCATATATAGATCACTGGAATGGAGTCAAAGATATCGACCTCATAGTGAAATAAATAAGTGCTCTAAAAAGATTGTGAGTACAAAGAATAGACTTGTGAAATGTATAGCGAAATCCACAATTATCCCTAACTTTCACACTTGGAGTTTTTGTGTGGAAAAGCTCCAAAGAATGAAACAATTATCATCAATGTGATGCAAAGATATGTTGTAGCTTGATATGAGGCTGAGGGACAGGCAAAATGGTTAAGGAGACCTGTACCCGGAGTTGATAATGGTTGACAAACCATTTCAAATTTTTTGCTCCTATGACAACGAGTCAAGTATTGATGCCAAACACACTGACACAGAGTTATGCGTTGTAAAGGAGAAAGTACGGAATTATGTAGAAATGCTTGATGCATAAAAGCAACAGACAAGTATTTGCAGATCTACTTATTAAAGGCTTACCGTCCAGTGTGTTCGGAGAACACACAGTCGACATGGGTTTTATGGTATAGTCTAAGAATTTCGGACAATAAAGAGCCCAAGGTTAAAGAATTTGTTACAAAACAGAAAGGTACGTTGTGGCTGCCTGATTCTATCGTCAATTGAGCTGTGACGATGAAACATGTTCTATGTACCAATATGTGATGAAACAAATAAACTAGAAAGTGTAAGGTTGAAAGTAAAGTTGAGATCAAGGGGAAGAATGTTAGGTTGATCTCTTCCCGATCGAGCCCAACGGCTCGACGGGCCCTTGACCCGCGCCCTGATCGGGGGCGCCCAACCACACCATGGTTGGTAGGCCCCTGTCGCCACGCTATATAAAGGGGTGGGCCGCACGCAACACAAGATTCACCATGCGTCCAGAACCCCATCTACATCCCTACCAATCTAGGGTTAGCGCGATACGACGGGAAGCTCAACCACCACCACACACACACACACACGCCCACACCGCCGTCACCGTCCCGCCATAGCAACGGCGGGAGTTCATCAACCCAAGGTGAAGGTAATTCTTGGAATTTCGTCCACAGAATCGATCACATCAAATCAGGACGAACACGCACACGAAAACTTTGGCCAAGGATACGTGTCGTGCCCCTTCTTTTTATTCCTTTTTCTGTTTTCTCTACACACATTACAAAGTTATGCCCTGGCTGCATATATATATGCACAGCCAGCCACCGACCCAACCTAAACCCAATCCTACTCGTACAGAAACTACTACCTAAACACGCCGGACACAAACAAATCCTAACCGGACTCTACTTTACTGGTTAACTCCTATCACAACACGGACTAGTACTTCTGCTACTTGCGTGCAACCAGCCACATGTACTAATCACCGGCTACCTTGTTCACCATTAGTCTAAATCTAGTATAAACTCCTACTACATGACTCAACCAATACTATGACTAGGACAAGATTACCTAACAATCTTCCCCTAATTTTGACATGTCATCTCCTTGCGCTTCCTCTCGTCTTGACTCTTGCAGCTTCGCGACTTGTCGATCCAAACTTTAACGTACAATCTGAACTACAAGCCCATACGATCGCATCTACATGTGCAACATGCAAGACTGGACGCATCATCAGTCTTCACGTCGTTCAACTTAACTGGTCACTGTCCCACTACACGTCGAGCTTGATCTTCAACCGTCATATCCGTACACTGAGTATGACCCGTCTGGAAACATGCAAAGCACCTCCTTGCCCTGTCATGTTGTGCCACCGCCATTGCTTGGCCACTGCCTTGCACTCGGTCCGCACCATACTCCTTGTACTTGCTTGCAATAGATGCACTCTTCACTGCTTGCACACCTCCTCGCTTTACGATGGCTTCGCCTACCATCGTCCGCCTTCGGCATCACACCGAATCCACACTGGCCGCAACCAGGACGCTCCACGAGGCCATGGACATGACTCACGGAACACCATGCACACCGCTTCCACTTTAACAAATCATCACCAAGACGAGCACTTGGACACGACGACGACTCACAGACGCAACGACAACGACTGACCATGCAAACTCGCACGACTCCTTAACTCATCCGACTCCCCAGATGACGATCTTGATGAGCTCCAGCACCGCACCTCGGCACCACCTCGCACATCAACGATCTCCTTCCGCCATCTTGCTGACGACAACCTGTCGTCTCCCTCCTTGTCGCTCCGACGAACGACAATCACTTGTTCCTCCTCTTCGCCGGATCATCCAGCGACTTCATGGCCCGCCCCGAGGCGCTAGTAGATCGCCACCCCGGGACAAGCGCTCGAACCTGAACCTTACTCTGATACCAATTGTTGGAATTTCGTCCACAGGATCGATCACATCAAATCAGGACGAACACGCACACGAAAACTTTGGCCAAGGGCACGTGTCGTGCCCCTTTTTTTATTCCTTTTTCTGTTTTCTCTACACACGTTACGAAGTTATGCCCTGGCTGCATATATATATATATATATATATATATGCACAGCCAGTCACCGACCCAACCTAAACCCAATCCTACTCGTACAGAAACTACTACCTAAACACACCGGACACAAACAAATCCTAACCGGACTCTACTTTACTGGTTAACTCCTATCACAACACGGACTAGTACTTCTGCTACTTGCGTGCAACCAGCCACATGTACTAATCACCGGCTACCTTGTTCACCATTAGTCTGAATCTAGTATAAACTCTTACTACATGACTCAACCAATACTATGACTAGAACAAGATTACCTAACAGTAATACCCCATCTGATCCCGCAACTACCGTGGATATCCAACACATGTGATCCTGATGGATTTAACACTACATAGTCAGGGTACTGTCAGTGCGAGTCGCGCATGGATCGGTCTGCAGATCGCATCTGGGAATTATTAACCTGGACTGTGTCCGGGCCGGACTGTGCACAGACAAGGCAACGAACAGATAATAGTTTCCCCGATAATCACAGATAAGCTACGGCTAGTTTTCCAGATTATTTAAGTTTCGAGATATTAATCACAACACACCCATTGTTTCTGGCCCAACGATCGCTGTGCGACTCCAGAAGGTATTATTGCTCTTCTGACGATGATCATGGTCAGGCTTGGTGTGGCTTCTTCTTCTTCTTGCTGATGTCCTCGGCTATGGACTCGGCGTCCTCGCAGCTCCCGTAGAGGCCCCTCCTCACCATCCCCGCGCAGTAGAGGCCGTTCTCCCCCTTCCAGTGCTCCGGGAAGCTCCGCCGCGCCATCCCGTCCTCGCCGATCAGCCCATCGTCACTCTGAGAGAACAAAAGGAAAACACAGAGATGATCAGGCCGTACGGATCATGAGCGAGTTTGCGTCCCGAATCCCTACGCTGTGCATATATAGTAATAGTAGATCGACATGTCTATTTTCAGGCGTGCACTTTCAGGATGCGTAGCACCGACGGTACATGAACGCACGCGGGCATGTTCCGGAAAGACGAGACCAGGAACCGAGCTGAGTTTTGCTTCTTGGGAAAGTCTCGTCTCTCGTCTCCAAAGCGACATGCATATGCATGCACGAACGTCTTCTCTTAATTTTTTATCAACAAAATGTACAAATTATGAGTCACAACACTGATGAGTCATGAATCATGATGTACCGATCCCTATGCGACCAAGTTGGTACACAGGACGAGTGTGCATTGGTGTTCTATACACACGTGGGCATGTGGCAGCATGAGCTGGATGCATGGACGGATGCGTCTGCAATGGACGTAATAATCTTACCTTGAGCCACTTCTTGGTTGTGCTCCGGTAGCCGGTGGCGAAGACGATGGCATCGAACGGGTGCCGCTTGCCGTCGGCGAACTCCACGACGTTCCCGTGCACAGCCTTCATCGCCGGCAGGACCTGCACGCGTTCACATGCCCTTGAATTAAGCATGCAATTTATAATCCTTTACCCGTTCAGCTTGAAGTTAAGAGGGTGGACTTTCTAAATCCGCCGCAGGTGTGCCTCTATTTAGAGTTCTAGACCATCCATTTTTTGCATCAAGGTTTATAAATAAAACGATATATAAACTTGAAACTTTTCAAATCAACAAAAAACCTAGAATTCCTGGCAAAAGAAAAATCCGCAAGAACAAAAGAACTTCCGTGTATAGAAAAGATTTCAGTTTCTTCAGTGGAGCTACAGATATAGAATAAGATTTTATGTTCAATAAGCTATATCATTTTAAGCATTGAAATTGCACCAAAAATCAAAAATATTTGTCTACACATTGCGGTTATAATGTCTTGGTGACCAGAAATTTTTTAAGTTTATAAATTGTTTTGGTTGAGAAAAAAAGAGGGAATCCTATATCCTATGTTTTCAATTCCTAAATATCTACAACTGACTATCTATTTTTCTAGCCATGCAACCATACCACACAAACAAGTTACGCATGCAAGTCATAAATTAGAATTTTTTTCATTACTCTATGCATGAAACGTTGCCACGTCATAATTAATGCATCTTAATTATTCATAGGTTATTTTTGCACCAGATTTTGTATTGACATTCATGGTATTATGAGCAAAAATTAAAGAAAAAAAATCGAAGCTATATTCGAAAACACTGTTTGCATGAATAGTAAGGTCTTGATTATATTTTCTTCGCTACAAATACCATAGGTGTAATTACTTCATGAAATTTCACACGTGCATACATACAGTGGTGACCAAGTTTGATACCCCAAATTTTAGAAATTCTAGTTTTTTCTCTAGTATTTTTAAAATTTTACTATTCATGTGTGTGTGCATCTAACTATGTTCACGTGTGTATTTTCCCTCTTGTAGCCACCTATATTATGCAATCTATTTGTGCATGACTTTGAGTTCATTGCTTCTTGGTTGTATATATCACAATAAGTGTTTCTTTTCTAGGGAAAGGCAGGCGCTCAGCCCTAATTTTGAAGAAAATAAAATCCAACATCCATTAACTTTCACTGACCTGGATCTCGCCGGTCTTGATCTTGGCGTAGGTGCCGACGTCGACGACAGGGTAGGCTGGGGTGTGGATCTTCATGGAGAAGGGCCCAATGGCGGGCCGGCGGAGGCCGTAGCGGGAGGTGTCCCCGAACACGACGCTGCACATGAAGAGCACGATCCGGTCGATCAGCCACAGCGGCAGGTACCTGTATAGCGTCATCGCCACGTTCCAGATCTCCTTGGTCACAAGGTGAAGCTGCATGCAGCCACAGCAACAACAAATAATTAACTCACACGACCGCTGCAGCGCATTGCAGCCAATTATTTAGCTGTCGACAATGGTCTTTACTGGTTGCATCACATCACATGGTCCATCACTGAAAATACAGAAGGAGACATAAACTATCGGGTTAAACTACTAACCAAGTTGTTGATCAGGCACGTGAATGGGTGGTTTGCTATTTGCATCTTGTCTTTACTATTTGACCTATATAAGCGACAGAGACAGGGGTCATTCATCTGCTAAAGCGGGCTGCTGACCACAAGCGAGACAGCAGGATCCTATGTTGCTGTTCATCAATTTGCCACCGATTGCGGTTGGTCATTACGCAGTGCCGAGAATTAGTGGCTACCTACCCCGCGTGCGTGTGTGAGAATGAGATCTGTCGTTAATTATCCTGCAGATCGACGGGCTCCGTTGCGGCATTGAATAATCATGTTGTGCTGCTCGTGCAGCGATTTGTTGGCATCGATCCGGTCGAGATCAGGCTATATGTGGGAACAGTACAGGTGCATGGATCCAAATCCAAGGATCAAACGTCAAAAACTCCATAGGGTAGTACAATAAATTAGCTAGCTATGGGCTCTACGTGCATGCAGTGTCGATCGAGTGGGTACGGTGGCAGGCAGCTGGCAGCAGTCCTAGTGTCGCCTTCTTTCTTAGAAAAACCTGAAGGTTCTTGGACGGCAGAGGGCAAACTGACCAAGCTGTTGCAATGCTCTAACTGAATACTACTACTCCGATTTGAGAACGGCCGAATGGTTCGTTCCCGCAGATAGCAGGTGTGGCGTGGTTGCTGCAGTGGTAGCCATGCCGATCCAGAAGTTCATAACGGGCACAGCTCCCGATCTGCTAGGCCGTGACGTAAAAATAGAGCAGAAAAAAGAGCATGCATGCATTCACAAACAGGATCGATCATTCGGAGCCGTCCAGCAGCTCAACTCCTACATGCAAAAACGAACCACGCATGCAGCCATGCCCCATGCACACATGGAGCGCCAACTTGCCGTGTAGAGCTCGCCACCCTATGACTCGTGCGCCCGGCACGCTTGCGTGAGCCGCCACCAGGCGTGCCTACTCGTGCGCGCTGGCATAACGACACACGTGAAACAATGGGGCATGGTTTGGTGTATAATAGAACTGGCTAGTAGTGTAGTTGATTTACCTAGCGACTAAATCAGTTTTCTAACCTGCTAAAAAGTTGTTATTTTTTTGGCAAGTTTTGCCATCGCCAAATATTGTTAGTAGCAAAATTTTGGTAGCAACCAAACAAACCTTGAGTAAGAAACATTAAACATACCAAGTTAAAAAGAACTGAACTTACGTTAAGTAAGAAACACTAAAAACAACTGGCCTTACCGTGGATCCTTAATTAAGAAACATTAAACATGCTACTTCTAGTGTCAAAAACGTTTTTATATTATTATGGGACGGAGCGAGTACTTGCAAGTAACTGACCTCGCTGCGGACGATGATGGAGGTGGCGGCGCCGGCCTCGGCGAGGTCGTAGGCGATCTCCATGCCGGAGTTGCCGGACCCGACGACGAGCACCGCCTTCCCCTCCATCCCCTTGCCCGTCCGGTACTCGCAGGCGTGCATCACCTTCCCGGGGAAGCCGTCCAGCCCCGGCACCTCCGGCAGCACCTTCTCGTCGTTCTCCCCGGCGGCGGCCACCAGGTGCCTCGCGGCGTAGCGCTCCACCAGCCCCGTGGCGTGGTCGACGGCCTCGACGAGCCACGCGCCCCGCGCCTCGTCGAAGCGGGCCTCGCGGACCTCGCGGCGGAGCCGCACGCGGACGCCGAAGCGGGCGGCGTAGTCGTCGAGGTAGCGCACGAAGTCGTCGCGCGGGAGGTAGGTCGGCGCCGCGGGGCCGTGCGGCGCGTGCGGCAGCGCCGAGTGCTGCTTGGCGAGGTGGAGGCGGATGCGGTCGTAGGTGCGGTGCCGCCACAGCGACCCCACGCAGTCGTCGCGCTCCAGGACGAGGTTCCGCACCCCGCGCAGGGACAGGCACGCGGCGGCCGCCAGCCCCGACGGGCCCGCCCCGACGATGATCACCTCCTCGTGCTCCTGCTCCTCCTCCCGTGGTTTCTCCCCCTCCGCCGCGTGCGCCATTGGCGATCCTCGGGGTTCACGCCGGGGTGACAGAGAAGGTGGGACGTAGGGCGGCGAGGAGTAGAAGCTAAGCGATGGGTTTTTTGGGGGCTTTATAGGAGGCGGGGTGGGTTGGTGGACGCGTGTCACGGCAGCTGCAAGCAATGGTGGACTGCCGTGGAAGGGTCCTCGCGGCGGTGCCGGGGCCCGCGTAACGCATTTTCAGAACGCTGGGCATCTGCTAAGCAAATGCTACTAGACAGGCCGCGGTCACGGGTCCTCTACGTGCATGGGGTGTCGTCTATGTATGGATACAGCTCCTCTACAAAAGGAGAAATGGAATAGGTACAATGGCAGCCGTCAGTTGTCAGTTGGCATGCAGCAGTTCTGCTGTCCTCTTCTTTCGTAGAAAGACCCGAAGATTCGAAGGCCAGTGATCGCTGGATGGAACTATAGCTCAAAGTTAGGGCATCACCAACACTCACCCGCAAAATTTTGCTTCGGCATTCAACACTGCCTACATACATTTTAATCACTGTTTGAACTAATCGAACGAAATTCACGCAAACACGGCGGATTTCGTATAAATCGGACAATATTCATTATATTTAGGACATTTTTGTAACTACAAACTACTCCGAACTAAAGTAAAACCAGTCTACGGGCGGCGCCAGCGGATATCCATCCCACGACACGGATACCCTTGACAAGTCTACGGCCAGTCGCGGCAGATCTTCATTGTCTTCCCCATGTCCAGCAGCCCGCTCATCCGACTGCCGTAAGCCCGAGTGGTATGTGCTTCAGCGCAAAGGGAGGCTTGATTCCCCATGTTTGGCAGTGCTGCTCATCGGAGTGGTACCGCCGGGATGTGCTTCAGCCGGAAGGGAAGGGGACGACGGTGGCCTGCGACCGGGCAAGACACCAGTTGTGTACGCCGGCGTCGCCTCAGCGGTGGCCTTCATGGGACCCAAGTGGCGGCGGCCTCTCATGTTCTACTTCTTCTCGATGATGGCAGCGGGCGCGGACGTGCTGGACGCTTCCTCGTCGATCTCCGTGAAGCCAGCTTCTTTTTCCGTCGATAGGGCGCAATTACGCAAATGTTGACGGGGAATGGCTTAGTCATAGGCACGGGAGGTGCGGTGCGACACGACGTCATCCACGACAGCCATGATGCTTGTGTTGTCGTGATCCACGACGCACCGGCTTAGAGCTTCAAAGCCAGCGCCAGTGAAAGGTCGCGTCCATTCTACGTCTGTGTCAATCGGAGCGGCCACTCTCCAGCGGCATGAATGTGGGTAGCTAGCGCGGAGCGGAAGCGCGCACAGGCAAGGGAGCACTACTAAGGAAAATCTTATACACAGAATATTACCAGTAGCGCGGTTTAAAATAAGGCGCTACTTAGCAGTAGCACGTGACATCAAACAACGCTACTGATATCAACGTAGCAGTAGCGCGTCTAGAGGAAAGAGCGCTACTACTACAATTGTCATGACATTGTCGCCAGACTAGGTATAGTAGTAGCGTCGTTTTCGTAACCCAGCTACTGCTATTGTACTTAGCAGTAGCGCTGTTCGTCAAACATCGCTGATGCTAAGTTTAGTCACCTCCTTGGAACTATGTTTAGTCCCACCTCGCTTCGTGAACAGGGTGTTTACCACATTAAATATGTTACTTCTCAAACTATCACAACCACTCGGGCTTCATTGAACCATATGTGTACGATTTGTGGCCGCAATATGAGTCTTCACCGGTTCCTAAACCGGTGAGGATTCATACTGACAATTTAAATTCTACACAAAAAGATCATTTACATCATTAGCCTTAGCAGTTGCGCATGTCCGGGAAAAAGCGTACTGCTATTGGGCTTAGCCGTAGCGCACTTCCTGGGCCAGCGCTACTGCTATGGGTGCCTTATCCTCAAGTTCCTCCCCTGTGCCCGACCTTCTTCTTCCTCCCCTCACTCCCTGCTGCCTCACTCTACCTCCGTCGCCACCGCATTGCCGCCGCCATCCTCTAATACGTCTCCGTCGTATCTATTTTTCCAAACTCTTTTGCCCTTGTTTTGGACTCTAACTTGCATGATTTGAATGAAACTAACTCGGACTGACGCTGTTTTCAGCAGAATTGCCATGGTGCTAATTTTGTGCAGAATAAAAAGTTCTCGGAATGACCTGAAACTTAATGGAGATAAGTTTTGGAATTAATAAAAAAAATATTGGAAGGGGGCCCACACCCTGGCCACAAGGGTGGGGGGGTGGGGCGCCACCCGACCTTGTGGGCCCACTGGACCTCCACCGACCTCAACTCCAACTCCATATATTCTCTTTCGGAGAGAAAAAAATCAGAGAGAAGGATTCATCGCTTTTTACGGTATGGAGCCGCCACCAAGCCATGTTCTCTCGGGAGGGCAGATCTGGAGTCTGTTTTGGGCTCCGGAGAGGGGAATCCATCGCCATTATCATCATCAACCATCCTCCATCACCAATTTCATGATGCTCACCGCCGTGCGTGAGTAATTCCATCGTAGGCTTGCTGGACCGTGATGGGTTGGATGACATCTACCATGTAATCGAGTTAGTTTTGTTAGGGTTTGATCCCTAGTATCCACTATGTTCTAAGATTGATGTTGCTATGACTTTGCTACGCCTAATGCTTGTCACTAGGGCCCGAGTGCCATAATTTCAGATCTGAACCTATTATGTTTTTATGAATATATTTGTGTTCTTGGTCCGATATTGCAAGATATAGTTACCTACTACGTGTTATGATCCGGTGATACGTCTCCAACGTATCTATAATTTTTTATTGCTCCATGCTATATTATCTACTGTTTTGGACATTATTGGGCTTTATTATCCACTTTTATATTATTTTTGGGACTAACCTATTAACCGGAGGCCCAACCGAGAATTGCTGTTTTTTTTCCTGTTTTAGGGTTTCGAAGAAAAGGAATATCAAACGGAGTCCAAACGGAATGAAACCTCCGGGAACGTGATTTTCACACCGAATACAACTCAGGAGACTTGGACCCTACGTCAAGCCAACTAACAGGAGGCTGCTACGTCTTGAGCTTGCGTTGGTTTTCCCTGAAGAGGAAGCGATGATGCAACAGAGTAGCGTAAGTATTTCCCTCAGTTTTTGAGAACCAATGTATCAATCCAGTAGGAGGCCATGCTCATGTCCCTCGTACCTACACAAAACGATAGCTACTCGCAACCAATGCGATTAGGGGTTGTTAATCCCTTCACGGTCACTTACGAGAGTGAGATCTGATAGATATAATATTTTTGGTATAAATATGCAAAGTAAAAAGTAAAAGCAAAGTAAAAAAGCAAAGCAAGATTAAAGTGATAGAGATTGATATGATGAGAATAGACCCGGGGGCCATAGGTTTCACTAGTGGCTTCTCTCAAGAGCATAAGTATTCTATGGTGAGTGAACAAATTACTGTTGAGCAATTGATAGAATTGAGCATAGTTATGAGAATATCTAGGCATGATCATGTATATAGGCATCACGTCCGTGACAAGTAGATCGAAATGATTCTGCATCTACTACTATTACTCCACTCATCGACCGCTATCCAGCATGCATCTAGAGTATTAAGTTAAAAATAGAGTAACGCCTTAAGCAAGATGACATGATGTAGAAAGATAAATTCATGCAATATGAAATAAACCCCATCTTGTTATCCTCGGTGGCAACGATGCAATACGTGCCTTGCTGCCCCTTCTGTCACTGGGTAAGGACACCGCAAGATCGAACCCAAAGCTAAGCACTTCTCCCATGGCAAGAACTACCAATCTAGTTGGCCAAACCAAACGGATAATTCGAAGAGACTTGCAAAGATAACCAATCATACATAAAAGAATCCAGAGAAGATTCAAATATTATTCATAAATAGACTTGATCATAAACCCACAATTCATTGGTCTCAACAAACACACCACAAAAAGAAGATTACATCGAATAGATCTCCACAAGAGAGGGGGAGAACTTTGTATTGAGATTCAAAGAGAGAGAAGAAGCCATCTAGCTACTAACTATGGACCCGAAGGTCTGATGTAAACTACTCACACTTCATCGGAGAGGCTATGATGATGTAGAAGCCCTCCGTGATGACGGCCCTCTTCCGGCGGAGCTCCGGAACAGGCCCCAAGATGGGATCTCGTGGATACAGAAAGTTGCAGCGGCGGAATTAGGTTTTTGGCTCCTGTTCTGATTGTTTGGGGGTATGTGTGTATATATAGGAGGAAGAAGTACGCCGGAGGAGCAATGAGGGGCCCACGAGGCAGGGGGCGCGCCCTAGGGGGGAGCCCCCCACCCCCGTGACCGCCTGTTTTGTTCCTTGGAGCAGGGTCCAAGTCTCCTGGATCACGTTCTGTGAGAAAATCACGTTCCTGAAGATTTTATTCCGTTTGGACTCCGTTTGATATTCTGTTTATCCGAAACACTGAAATAGGCAAAAAAACAGCAATTCTGGGCTGGGCCTCCAGTTAATAGGTTAGTCCCAAAAATAATATAAAAGTGGAAAATAAAGCCCTATATAGTCCAAAACAGTAGATAATATAGCATGGAGCAATCAAAAATTATAGATACGTTGGAGACGTATCAGGCATCCCCAAGCTTATTTCCTGCTCGTCCTCGAGTAGGTAAATGATAAAAAGAGAATTTTTGATGCGGAGTGCTACTTGGCATAATTTCAATGCAAATATTCTTAATTGTGGTATGAATATTTAGATTAGGAAGATTTAAGACAAAAGTTTATATTGACATAAATAATAATAATACTTCAAGCATACTAACAAAGCAATTATGTCTTCTCAAAATAACATGGCTAAAGAAAGTTATCCCTACAAAATCATATATTCTGGCTATGCTCCATCTTCACCACACAAAGTATTTAAATCATGCACAACCCCGATGACAAGCCAAGCAATTGTTTCATACTCTAACTTTTTCAAAACTTTTTCAATCTTCACACAATACATGAGCATGAGCCATGGATATAGCACTATAGG